CTCTATTGAAAAACGTTTTTTATCAGCTATGGATGAAATTTAATTCTTAATCATCGCAAACGAACAATCAAGCGCCTTCTGGTATTATCAAACGTTTTCCTTTGAAAAGCAAGGGGACTCGCGGGTTTATTTCGCTCAATATGATTGTACTATTTATTTTATTTCGCAAAGGTATTGAAAGAGTTGAATAAAATATGTTACAGTTGTGTGTAACTGTAGTAATTATGTTGCTGATTAGCATAAAATGATCGACAGGGGTAACAAAGTTGATAAGTATCATTCATTTTGGTGCTACATTTCCAGCAGAGGATCTTGTGGCATTGGTGACAATTGCTAGTTGTTTCCAGTGCTTGAATAATATTGAAACATAATTGACATTGAATGGTAGACGTTTGTGTTAAGCTCTGTAGCTGACCACAAATTCCAACACTTGAATGGAATGACGATATCGTTGGGGAAGCATCTGATGTTAACATGTAAGTAATTGGTGGTAATGCAGTGTTTTGAGAAGTAGCTATTGCTACGCTTTTCATTGGTTCATGTAACATAGTATTAGCGGGAACGGTTGACACATCAGATTGTGCTCGCGCATTGATTACCTTTTTCGAATTTCTTGTTTTAGCTGTTTTGTTTTCCGTCGTTTTCTTCTTTTTAATTGATATGAGGGCTAACTCATCTAAATCTGTAACGCTCCTGCCATTTCCACTAGAAGCGATGCGTCTTTTGCCTCTTGTGCTGTTGGAAGAACGTCCGGAAAAATGTTTCTCCACAATTTTTTCAATTGCAACCAAAGAAGGATCTTTTTCTAAATACAAATGAACATTTGTTAGTGTTCATGTGTCTTTTACAACTATAAGAACTTACCTCGCGAAGTGAAAAATATTGATGAAACCATTGAACTATTTGCTGTTGGTGAAGGCATCACAGATGAACTATTTGCTGTTGGTGAAGGCATCACAGATGAACTATTTGCTGTTGGTGAAGGCATCACAGATGAACTATGTGCTGTTGGTGAAGGCATCACAGATGAACTATTTGCTGTTGGTGAAGGCATCACAGATGAACTATTTGCTGTTGGTGAAGGCATCACAGATGAACTATTTGCTGTTGGTGAAGGCATCACAGATGAACTATTTGCTGTTGGTGAAGGCATCACAGATGAACTATTTGCTGTTGGTGAAGGCATCACA